TTGAAATTCTTTCTCTTTGAAGTTTAATCACCAATGAAATTTCATAATATGAGAATTCTATCTCTGTATTTACCTTATGGGGCTGCAAAAGAAAGGAAAGGAATGGAGTTTTGAGGTTTGGTTTTGAAGAGTGTGTGCTTTTGAGGCACTTGGTGCTGGGTGTGATTCCTCCCTTCTCAGGGCCACAAGCCAACCTAGGAGAAAAGTGGAATATAAAAAGCAGAGGACCCATATGTTAAGCATCCCTTTTCCATGCCTGGCTTCTGCTTCTCCCATGGACTGCAAAAAGCAGGAGGCCAGAGCATTAATCCCTTGGTGTGCCTGGCTCCTGCCTTCATCTCAGAATCACAGAATCGTTGAGTTTGGAAAGGATCTCTGGAGATCACCTGAGCTAACCTGCTCAAGCAGGGTCACCCAGAGTGAGTTGTCTGGGACCATGTCCAGACTGCTTTTTAGTATTTCCAAGGATGGAAGCTTCACAACGAATATGGGCAACCTATGCCACTGTTTAGTCACCCTCTCAGTAAAAAAAATGTTCTCGTATGTTCGGAGGAAGTGTCCTGTGTTTCGGTTTATTGCCTCTGGTCCTGTCACTGAGCACCACTGAAAAGACCCTGGCTCCATCCTGTTTACACCCTCCCTTCAGGTATTTGTGTGCCCTGATGAGATCCCTCTGAGCCTTCTCCAGGCAGAACAGTCTTAGCTGTCTTAGCCTCTCCTTAGAAGAGACATGCTCCAGTCCCTTCATCACCTTACTGGCCATTCATTAAACTCACTTGAATATGTCCATGGCTCTTGTGTCCTGGGGAGCCCAGAACTGAATTCAAGACTCCAGATGTGGCCTCATCAGTGCAGAGTAGAAGGAAGTAGAAGGAACTTCTCCCTTAGCCTGCCGGCAATATTCTATCTAATATCTAATACCATTACTCCACTTCCCTGCAAGGGCACAATGCTGGCTCTTGTTCAGCTTGGTGTCCATCAGGACCCTCAGGTGCTTTTCTGCCAAACTACTTTCCAGTTGAGTGGCCCCAGCATATTCTGTGCCTGGGATTGTTCCTCTACAGGTGCAGGATTTTACAGTTCTTTTTGAACTGCATGAGGATCCTACCAGCCCATTTCTCCAGCCTGTCAAGGTCCCTTTGGCATATCAGCCACTCCTCCCAGTTCGGTGTCATCTGCAAACTAGCTGAGGCGCACTCTGTCCCATCATCCAGGTCATTAATGAAGATGTTAAACAGGATTGAACCCAGTATTGACCCCTGAGGTACACTGGTAGTTACTGGTATCCAATTAGACTTTGTGCCACTGATCACCCTCTGGGTATGGCCAGTCACCCAGTTTTCATTCTACCCCACTGTCTGCTCAACCAGTGTGTACATCAACAGCCTCTCTGTCAGGATCTTATGGGAGATTGTCTCAAAAGGCCGTACTATAGTCCAGGCCTTTGACATTCATTCCCATAAGATCCTCCTGATGGGTTCCTCACTACTGATAATCTTTTGCTGGTTATTTTTATCATCTTTGAAATCCTATATGTAAACTTGGCTACACTTGACATGCTGAGATATTCCTGGCATCTGAAAATTGGGATTTTCACAAGAAGACAAGCCTGTTTCTGCACAGCTTCGGATGTGTGTCCATTAAATGAGATTCAGTTATTAGGGGTTTTTTTGCTAGTCCATTTCTGCAGTTTTTCAATCAAATTCTGACTTCTTAGTATGCTTTGTGGCCTTTGCAGCCTGACAGCACCTCTGGGCTTACTAATCATATTCCTTATTCCATCATCCAAATTTTTTAAATTATCTCTTAAAACCAGATGAAGGAAAGACCCAATTCAGAATACATCTTCACATTTTTCCCAGTGAGCTAGACTTAGTGTAGTTTTCCAGTTCTTATTTGTACCCATTCTCTAACAATTTCATATAGCCCATATTTTTTTATATATATTTCAAACTGTCTCCAGTGGTGTTTTTGTGCCTTTGTGAAGTTAAAGTATGGGATGTTTACAGGTTTGCTTTCATCAGGAAGGCCCTCTTTTTTTTTTCTGTCCAAGTCAGAATAAATGGCTAAAATATGTCTTTGGCAAACAGTCAGATCCTTTCACACATTTTGTTTTAGAGGGTCACCTAGAAAATATTTTGTCTGTTTTGCTTTCTAGGTGATTTTGACCAATCAGTTTAGCTTATCCTTTCACATCTCTTTTCCTCTTTAGAAGTTGGCATGAGTTTATTTTTTATTCTTGCTCCATTCTGCTCATGTGCTTGCCATCTGATTGCAGGTGACCTCTTTGTGAAAAAAATGAATCAAAAAGGCACAGAACTCTTCTGTTTTGTTGGCATTGTCCATTTGCTTTCCCACTGAGTATTGGAATAACTCCTTCCTTGCTGCACCTCTTCTTACTATTAAATGTATGGAATTGTGAGTTTTGTTCTTTACATACCTTACATTTTCTCATTTTGTGATGTGACCTTTCTGAGTTTGTGTCGGTAAGAGTTGTGCTGCTGTTACACTTGAAAATTTGACCTAGTTCCTTTTTTCCTATTACTCTTACATTTCAAATCATCAAAGCATTTGTGAATTGCCATCTAGTCTCTCAGTATATGTACTTCCTACAATCTTCCATGTTAAGATAGCTTGTGTTTCTGTACTGAGTACTGCTCTCTGAGAAGTGCTTGGTTGCCCTGACTTCTTTCAGCCAGTATTTGATTCTGGGAAGAAATCTCTGGGTTGAAGGAGTTATACTTCAGTAAACTCAGTAAAGTACATTGGCTTTGTTCACTGTTCTCCCTTATACACTTACTAAGAATGACTATAATTTTTGTGAACACAGTCACAAGTTGTACTTTGCCTTCCGTCTTTGCGCTGTCTCAGAATTTATTTCTACATTAAAAAAGAGGAAAAAACAAACAAACAAAAAACCCCGACAACCTAACAGTACTGATTTTCAAGAATGGTTGAACAGTCTGTTGTACTGCAGAGTCTGAAGAATTGAAGAGCTCCTTCAAAGGATGCATTTAGGATTAATTCCCTTTATTCTTTGCAATACTCTTAGAAAAAATGTTGGAGCCCCTTCCTTTGTGAATTGTAGCCATCAGTTGTTGTTCTGTATAATTAATGTGGGATGGCAATTCCTTATTGCGTTGTTTTTCATTTGCAACATTTATTTAGTCATTATGTATTTTGTATTTCCATGTTTTGCTTTGGTATTGTTGAGATATGTAAGGCTTCTTCCCTTCAGAAGATTTTATTTCAATTTTATAACATCTGCAGCTCTGATGTTAAGTCCTACCTCACCTGTAAGGATATAATTTGGAGTGGGGGGAGAACAACAAATGCCTACTAGGTATTGCAGTGATGAGTCTCAAACATCTTAATGTTCACTCTCTTGAAGCTTTAAGACTTAGGCAAGAAAGGAGTGCTGGAAGCAACCTCAAAACCTGTTCTTGTATGTATTTTTAAGAAAACTTATGCACTCTGTCACAAAAGAAGTGGTTTGCTTCAAAATGAGATAGAAGGCCAATGTCAGCAGATCATTTTCACGCTTGTCATTACAGTAACCCAACAACACTTTGCAGATAACAGGAGTTGCAGGTACAGTTAGGGTGTGCCTAATTGTCCTAATTCACTGTACTTGTACCCAGGAGAGAAGGTACCACAATGGTCTCAACTCACTGCATCAGTAGGCAGTATTGGGAAGTGCCAGATTGTTCCAGCCCACTGCACTTGTAATTACAACAAGAACAATGTTGGCTGGTCCTGACATTGCAATATGGCTGGTGGCAGGGGAAGGGGTGGGGGAAACAGTCTGTACCACCACAGTAACTTAATTTCTGAAGACGTCCACTTCTCTCAACAAGTTAGAAAGGAAGCCTAGTATACTAGCTTAGGTGTAGGTTCCTACTTCTGGTGAAATTATCTTAACTCTGCCATTTACCCTTACCATAGACGATTGCTGCAGTTCTGTTTTAAGTACTGATGGTCAAAGCTCCATTAAGCAGTAGGGAATAACTGCTCTGGAGAACAAGGAAAGTAGGAAATTGATTCAGTCAGTGAAGGTAGAGTTTAACTTTGTTTTTTCACGTGCCAAGTCAAAGATTGGCTCTTGTGATGCCTGTAGAGCCCATGTTGCTTAAATCAAGAAACTGCCTCTGAATGAGCAGAGTGATTCCCTCTGTTCCTTGCACCTGTGGAGTAGAGGTTGTGACAGATACATTTTTATGTGAAGTACCCATGTGCTGTGTGTGTGATAGTGCCTTGGCTGAAGTAGTGCTTACTGTTATATAAAACTCAGAAATGCCTGTTTGTAGTACCCAGTACATGGTGCCGTCTTTAAAGGTTCTTTACTCTTGATCTCTTAACCCTAGAGTTCCTTACCCTGCTGTAAAACTGCTTCTGCTTTCTGAGTGCAAGAACTAACTGCTTCTCTGCTCAGATGCTGAAATTTGAGCTCCATGGCATTCCATTGCAGTGCTAATGAAATGACATGTGGTACTTACTGAATGCAGCAGCCCTAGAGAAGCAGCTCATTGTGCCTTTGTAGATTAGACTACAGTTAAAACAGTTTGCCTGTGTGAGACCTCATGTGTAACCATTAGAAAGAATTTCTTGCCCTTGTGGTAGCCTGGAAGACAGTGGTCAGTAATGACAGAGCTCTAGCTAAGGATGATAAATGTGTCTAAATATTGGGAATTAACCTTTGCGAATGATGAATTGTGGAAACTATGTGGAGCTTCTGCCATTCTAATTAATCTGGCTAAAATGTCTAGCAAATAAGGAGGTTTCTAATGTCTCTGAGAATAGAAAATGACTGCAATAAAGGCACAAATGCCAGCATATTGGAAGTGCCCTTTGCTAAGAAGTCTGTGTATCCAGATCTTGACTGATAGAAAAGATTATGAGATTAAATGCTGTATGTTTTTTAAATTCTAATTTAAATTTAGATTTCTAACTTTACCTTTAAATGTATAAACCTAACGTTATGGCATGCTCTAATTTGACAGATAAGGAAGGACATAATTTTTCTATATTCTGGGTGCTGGTGAGTGTTATCCTAGGTGCAATAGCCATGCTGTGCAAAGAACAAGGAATTACAATACTGGTAAGAATCCTTTTATTGACTGCATTTTTACCTCAGCATCTATCAGGTGCAATTGGAAAACCTACAAAGATGAATCTTCTTTGCATTTAATTGTATGCACACCATTTTGTTCCATTCAGAAAACTAGTTTATGTTGACAAAAAGCAGTATTCTAATAGATCTGCCTTGACTGTGACCCTGCTGATCTGTTAGAAATCTTCATTTTGTCTTTTGTAAGCAGCATGCATATATCTGTTAATTACTTGCAAAATAAAAAAATATTTACAGTGTTAGTTTCAATGCATATCATGTTCCTTCACCTTGTTTTTGAAGGTAGTCGTTGAGATAACAAGCCTACAAACCTCTTGTTGAAGGGTTATGGACAAAGATGTGGCTGGAGGAGAGTGTTTTTGTTAAAAGCTCCACCATTTTGCTTTTTGAATAGTGTAATTAAACGTAAGGCCACGATTTATGCATTTCTAATACTGAATCTCTTCCTTCTGTCCTTTATTTAAGGATCTGTCTATGCAAACAGGTATAGATAATGTTCATTGTGCTCTTGCTTTTTGTTACTTCAGTGAAGTAGTATGTTGGGTAAAGTTCATTTTCAGTGACCACATCAGACACCTGAAATGCTACATCTGTGACTTTTACTTCTTACATAGCCATATATCTTCGCTATGAATTGCATTTGTTTCTATTAACTGTCATAGGTAAAACAATGTAATCAGAAGAATTCTTTGCAGCTAAGACCTCTTGTTCTTCCTAGGAACAAAAAGAAGAAATTATAGAAAACTTCTTGCTTTGGGATGTCATTTTTTGACAGATGTTTGTACAGTAATGTATTTTTCAAAGGTGTCTGTGAAGAAAACAAAAGGAGTTTTCTTAAAACATAGTGTGATTATTTCCTCTAGTGGTATGAAGTGATGATTTGAGCTAGCAGACACAGAATTGTTGTTGGATCTGGTTTTTTGTCTGCAGCTGCATTGCTAGGATGATTATGTTTATCGTTGTGCCGAGGGGCATGGGTCAGAGGGATGAAGGGATAAATTGCACATTTAAAAGATTGCTTGTAGGCTGAATGTATTTTTCAGCAGGGTCCTTGTCATCCTATCTCCATGCAAGTGAGCCAAAAATCTTTTAACTGCCAGGTGGCATTTCTACATGGAATGACGCCACTCTCTAACCTATCTTGTCTCTTCTCCCTTTGACTGTTAGAAAGACACTTGTGGCCTCCCAGTGTACTAACTCTTTACCTCACCTGGAGCTATTTTTACTGTCATTTTTTCCATTTAGTCTTCAGAACATTGATGTAATCTCCAAAGTTATTAGGATATAGATTAAATATTCAAAGATTATCATGGTTGCTGATTGCTGAAACACTGAAAGGTAAATGTTGAAGTTGGATTTTGCTGTTCACCTCAACAAAATTAACCTGGATATATTTTGGTTGCTTGTTTGGGTTAGTATGTGTAGTCCTGCAAAGCACTGAATATGCTCTAGTTTTATGTATAGTGGCTGATGTCACATACAGCTTTTCTTCTTTTTTTTTTTTTTTTTTTAAATAGCTTCTATTGTATATATTGGTGTATTTGCAAGAAAGCAAGCCTGGTACCTCTGTTACATCTTTCTAAGCCTGTTTTTTGTGACAAATGATCTACCCTTTAAAATTAGTATTTTTGAAACCTGACAGTCCAAAGGTACCATACTGCACAGAAAAAATAAGCAGAAAGCCTAAAGAAACTCCAACTTATTGACAGGAGCCTTACCTTTTGACTGCTGCATTTATGCTATGGAACATTTCAGAAAGAAGATGGAGAGCAGAATACTGTTACTGCCATGCATATGGGGTCTAGCTTGCTGGCACACAGTATTCCCCAAAGAGTTATTCCATGTGGCAGAAGAATCCCCATTACAGTAATGTGGATATTCTACCCATCTGAGCTCAGGTTCTAAATTTACCATTCTGCCATCATTACCAACATTTTTCTTTACTTGTTTGGAATCAGAATTAAGTTGTACAATAACTCATGGTAGAAGTGGAATTTGATGTATTAAAAAAAAAAACCACAAACATTTTTTGTTAGCTGCTCTGTCTTATACTCTTGTTTTTCTCTTGGTTGCTTAGGGTTTGAATGCAGTGTTTGATGCACTAGTCATTAACAAGCTAAATGTTTTGGAGCTTATTCAAAAGTTACTACATAAAGACAAGTCATTGGAGGTGAGTCCTCAGAGGTATTGTTCATTCTGGCCGTTCAACCAGTCATACCAAAAGACAAAGATACAACTTCTGACAGTTTTGTTGTTGAGAATTTTTTAAAAAAAAAGTTTTTTTCAGTTAGCCTTGTAAGGCCATGTGCTATGACATCTCTATGACATCTTTGCAGCAACTGAGTGGGATAGCATTAGAAATACATTTGATAGTGAAATCCATTCCACACTTATCTCAACAATATGTTAAAAATACAGTGTGGAAGAGCTGACTGCTTGATGCAGTAAGTTCTCCAGGGTCAGCAGCTGTATGCTTGAAATGGTTGTTTAATACAGTTTGGTCACAGTAAAGAGAGATAAATTTATTCAGATTCTCAAATGAGACAGATGTTTGAAAAAGTGTGTAAAAAAATATGTCTACTTTGCCAATCCAACTAAAGTGTTACACTGTTTTTGTCAGAATACAAATTACCAAATGGAGACAGTTCTTAGCTTGGGAGTTTAAAAGAGCATTAATATATTGGCATTGATAGTCACAAAGAATCACATTTCTGCCACTCTTACTCCAGTCTTCTGAGACCCCACATGGAGTACTGTGACCAGTTCAGGGTGGGTGGACATGGTAGAGTGGGTCCAGAGGAGCACAACTAAATGGTCAGCTGGCTGGAGCACCTCACCTATGAAGAAAGGCAGAGACAGTTTGGGTTGTTCAGACTGGAGAAGATAGAGCTCTGGGAGACCTTATTTCAATATATAAAAGGGGTTTATAAGAAGATGGAGAGACTTTTTACCAGGACCTGTAGTGACAGGACAAGGGGCAATGGCTTTAAACTGAAAGAGAGTAGATTTGGATAGGATAGAATAATTAGTTTATGTGGGAAAGGACCTATAATGATCATCTAGTCCAACTGCCTGGCCACTTCAGGGCTGACAGAAAGTTAAAGCATGTTATTGAGGGCATCGTCCAAATGCCTCTTAAACACTGATAGACTTGGAGCATCAACCACATCTCTAGGAAACCTGTTCCAGTGCTTGACCAGTAATGAATTCTTTACAGTGAGGGTGAGACACTGAAACGTGTTGCCCAGGGAAGTTGTGGATTGTGTTCAAGGCCAGGTAGGGCGGAGCTTTAAGCAACCTGATCTGATGGAAGATATCCCTAGCTGTGGTCAGGTGGGTTGGACTAGATGATGTTTAAAGCTCCCCTGCAACCCAAATCACGCTGAAATGTGTCAGAGTCAAACCTTTTTGGAAGATTACTCTTTAAGCATAAGAGCTCAAAGCATTATGCTTCTGTATTGTGACTTTTGAACAGTTTTGTCTGGGTGAAGAAAACATTCGATGTGCCTTTTTCTTTTATTGCTTTTAATAGAAGCAAGAAATTTTAGCTCCTGCTGCCTACAAAAATATGTTCTGTTCTTTCCATGGAAGTGTATCTAAGATTGTTTGGTTTTATTTAAAGGCAGATCTTAAATTCTCTTGCTTGCAGATTTATTTTTTTTATTCTGAATTGAGACAGGTTTCAGATTCATGCCAGATTTCAGTTAACTCTACAACAAAGACGATATGATAACACTTTTCCCAGTTTTAAAATTGCCTACTAACAGGTTTTGTGGTGAGTTGAGAAACCTGGCCTTTAAGAAGCTGCATGTAGTGTTAAATAAAATGAAGCCAGGGATAAGAGGTTTTGTGTAGTTACTTTGTCATAAGGCAGTTGTAAATTGTCACTATATGGTTTTCCTTTAAAGCACAATTCTCTTCCAAAACCAAACAGGTTTTAGGAATGGTTTTCCTATAATCATTACTGTAGTGACTTTGGTTACTGAGATGTGTAAGTTGCAAGTAACCGTTTAAGCACAAAGGCCAATTTGTATGAAATTAGCATTACAAACTTCTTTATGCTCAGGCATTCAGGTAAATATTTTATGGTTACTTTTATGATTTGCAGTTGTCAACTACAAATATTAAAACTCCATCTGAATATTACACTTAACTTTTCAATCATTTTAGAGAATAAATAGATTCAGCTAGGGTGTTGTGCTGTTTAACATCTTTGTCAGCAACATGGACAGTGGCATTGAGTGCACCCTCAGCAAGTTTGCTGACAACATCAAGCTGTGTGGTGTGGTACACATGCTAGAGGGAAGGGATGCCATCCAGAGGGACCTTGACAGGCTTGAGAGGTGGGCCCATGCCAACCTCATAAAGGCCAAGTGCAAGGTCTTTGCAGCCCAGAAAGCCACCTGTGTGAAGATGTGAATGTGGTGGGAAAGAGAACATAATAATGTTTTTAGTATGAGGGTTTTTTACTTTGTCTTTCTTTCCTGTAGAATTCTGGGCTGTTTAGAAAGGGACTGCTTTTCAGGATAACTCTCCTAATGTCTGGAGGGGCCAGTATACTTTATATACGCTGGAGGATTATGGGTACAGGGCCACCAGCTTTCACTGAAGTAGACAACCCAGCTTCATTTGCAGACAGTCTGTTGGTGAGGGTAAGTTACAAAGTTACTTTTTTCTGGCCAGCTAAAGAACATTTGTCTTTGTCATCAAGTTGAATTTTCTGTGCTTCAAGGAAATTATAAAATGGGCAGTGTTTAAGTTGCAAGATGTGTGAGAAGACACCTTCACTTGTGCTGCTGTGATGATTTTCTCTAATATTTTAAAATGGTATACCTTGTATATTCTTTACATTCAACTTAGCACACACTGTATTGAAGTGCATATCCATTTTCTCCTTATTTTTCCTATGCGTGCAAGGATTTAGCTTCTGCTGGGTTTCATTCCTTTTCCACATGCGGTGTTTGACTCTTCATCTATTCTTCCACACTAGAAGAAAATAGCATAAAGTTCTGGTCTGGTGCATTTGGAGTACGTCTTGGCATTATGTCTATGCACTTAGGCTCTATCTGAAGATGGAGAATGAAGGGTGAAGACAGTGGGTGCTGTATTTTGGTATTTTCTCCTCTTTTAGGGGGTTTATTCTTTTTACACGTGCAGATTGGTTGGACAGCAAAGAATTGCATTTCGCTGCTCTGAATAGGAGAGCCACCTAGCTATGTTTAAAAAAAAAGAATTAAAATTCATTTCACAGCTGTAAAATAAATTGATATATAACTAATTCTAGTTTTACATTATTTAAGGCCTCTTTATTGTATAAGATATATTTTGTGCTAAGGGAAATAATAACAGAGAGAGGAACTAAAGTTGTTCCCCCTTAAGTTTAGTATCAAATAAATGTTTGTTTTGGTTTTGACAGGCTATAAACTATAATTACTACTATTCGTTGAATGCATGGTTGCTGTTATGTCCCTGGTGGTTGTGTTTTGATTGGTCAATGGGCTGCATACCCCTCATTAAATCCGCCAGTGACTGGAGGATAATTGCACTAGCAGCACTTTGGTTCTGCCTAATTGGTCTGATATGCCAAGCTCTGTGCTCAGAAGACAGCCATAAGAGAAGGTAAGAGACAGTGATGAATTTTAAATGCCTTGCCAAATTGAGTACAGTATTATTTGGTTAAATCCACTACTGATAATTCTAACAATTCATGGAAGCAGTGTCTAGCAAATAGAGTTCAAATAAATATTTATAGCCAATTTGGGCCCATCACTGTACACTGAACTGATGGGAAACAGAGTTGGAGGAGGAGGTATGGATGGCTGCTTTATTTTTCTCCTGAAATGGCATTTTGCAATCCTTAACACTGTAGGTGGTAAAAAGTAATATGTGCTCAGAACAGAGTGGGAAATTATGGATGTTGTTGCCCCTGTTTCTTACAAGTCATCATCTCCTTTAATCTTCTCTTAATAACGAAAGAGGGAGAGATGTGCTTTTAAAGGAGGTAGAAATGCTAGTCATGGCTGTACAATTAAAAGAACGTTGACCCGTAATATCTACTGAGGCAACAACTTGTGCTTTACCCAACGGAATTAAAAAAATGCATTGTAGCCTAGCCTGTGTTATCTAAGGGTTTCTGTTCAACTTTTCAGGGTCTATTCCCGTGGATTTTATATATAATTAATTTCTCAGTTCTTTAAAGTTTTTCAAGAAGCTCAATCACAAGATTGTTCTGTTCAGAGTACTGAATATTTTCTGCAGTATTCTAACTTTCATCTCTTCCTCCTCATCCCCTCAAATGTTAACATCTCACCTGCCATCCTTTCTGCAGTTCCCATACTCATTTGCACAGATGAAATCAATTTTGGAAAGGGGCGGAATTCTTGCTACAAGTAATGTCATACTTTCTAGTAAAAATGCCTATTTTGCTGAACAGTTTTTTAGTAAAAAGTAAAGACAAAAAGTATAGTGACAGCCTAGGACACATCTGCGTTACAATATAGAGACTTATTTGTAATAAATTAGGGTAGAAGACTGCCATGCCTGTGACCTTTGTAACAAACATCTGACCCAGACCTGGAGTTCTTATTCCCTGTGTCAGCTCTGCAAAAGTAAGGCACCTTTTCTCAGTTGTCTAGGCTCTGTATGGTCCATAAAGAGTTACCCGCTGAGGATTACTTGTGGTAACACAGATACCCAAAACAAGGAAGAGAAACTGCCCTTGAGGAGTGTCTTTCTCTGCTGACTGTAAAAAGAGCACAGCACAGATTACTAACTTTCAAGTAGTTAACCACAATGGATCCTACTATTGATACATTTACAAGGAAAAAAAGCCATGCAGGAGGATTTGTACCTACTAAGTTTCTTCTTTAACCTCTATTTTCCCCCTGTTACTGTCTTACTAGTTCCAAAAATACACAGGTAGTTTTCACCATTACTTTTCCTCTCTGTGTATTTTAAATAGGAATGATGTAATCAATGTGTGATGGAGCTGTTTTCTTGCTCAGAAGCATGAATATTGCTTTTCTGGAAAGCATAGATAGGATTTCCAAAGTGCTTGATGGAATGAAGTGTCAAAATGTCACTGAAATTTAATCTGATTTTGTTAGTAGCTCTCAAAGGCTGCTTTTGAATGCCCTGTTTCATATGCACATCTTTCTACAATGTTTAAATAAAAGTTTGTAAGTTAAGTGGAAAACATACTTTTATTAAGATTTGTGGCTGATTTCAGAATCTGTTTCTTGCAGAATTCTTACACTGGGACTTGGATTTCTTATCATCCCTTTTCTTCCTGCAAGTAATCTGTTCTTCCGAGTAGGATTCGTTATTGCAGAGAGAGTCATCTACCTCCCCAGTATTGGATATTGTATTCTGTTTACTTATGGATTTAGTCTCTTGAGTAAGCAAGCCAAGAAAAAGGTACCATCAAAACAATCATTAAAGTTGATGATGAAGTGCTTCAACTGAATTGTTTGTTTCTTAACTTGTCTCTCTTTCCTTAAGAAAATTCTTGCTGTGGCAGTACTTGGAATCTTGTTGATCAATGTTATGCGCTGTGCACTCCGCAGCAGTCAGTGGAGGTCAGAAGAACAGCTTTTTAGGAGTGCGCTGTCTGTGTGTCCCCTGAATGCAAAAGTAAGTCACTTGTGGACTCTTTTTTTTTTAAGAGTTTTGAAATTTGGGATGAAGGAGGTGTTATGCATAGTGAATATACTGTAGTACAGTTTTATTTACAGTCTTGCTTCATGCCAGAATATGACATTTTTATGTCAGAAACCTAAATCACAGTGGTAGCACAGTCAAAATATCTGACAGTGCCAATTACTATATCGTGATTTAGAATTTAGGAGTGGGAGTGGGAAGAGATAAAGGGGAATGCACTTCAGGAAAGGCATCCAGTCAAATTGGATGTACTGCGAATAAAATCTTCTAAAAATTGTGTGTATAATTGCAAGTTATTACAACAAAATATCCAAAAGAAAGTAAGTTGCAGCGATGTATTCAATCAAATAATGCCTATGCTATGTTTTTAGAATCCATTTTGTGTCCCTGCCAGTGGTATATATGGCCAACACAGCTAAGGGACAAAGCAGTGTTATCGTCAGTGTAATCACAGGATGTGGGGCTCAAATCTTTGCTCCCACTTCTGCTTAGCAGTGGTTGAATGGGCTTGAGTCTCCAGACATAGTAACTCAGAAAAACTGTGATATTCCCTGCAAGGCGTAGTGAAGGAACAAGAGGATGGGACTGGATAGGAAGTTTCACTGAGCTGAACACCAGTGTTTGGCACAGTACACTGAATGTACAACCAGTACAACCAGCCTGCCAGTAGAGATGACCTCCACAGAAGTCCTTTGAAAGCTGTGAGTGTTATCTGTTGGAGCGTATCACAGAGCCTTAATGTCTGAATTTTAGCAGAGGCTCTCTTTGAAGTGCATTGGAATAGGAATGTGCAGCTTGTCTATAAAATACATTGTTGTTCTAAAAGATTATATTTCTGTAACCTAGAGTAGTATCTAGACAATGCAGATCAAGACACAGTTTAGAAAAGGAACCTGTGAATGCTCAACTTTGCAAAGAGAATTATAAACTTAGCATCTACTAGAATGCGAATATGCAGCAGTGAGCTGTAAAAAACATTTACAGCCAGTGTTTACAACATGGTTGTGTCTTTCAATAATATCAGATTTCAATACATAGCAAAGAGCTGTTGCATTTTATTATGTGGTGGTGGTGGTGACAACCATCTTCTTTTTTATTATGACCTCAGTGTATCTTGTCCTCTGGATGACAGGCACATGCTGTAAATGGAGCAAATGCAAAACACAGTTTGTTTGTGTGTATCTCCATCCATCTGCCATGGTAAGAGTGCTTTAGACAGATCCACAGTCTTTGCCTGTGCTCTGAGCTCCTTGGACACAAGCCACATCTGGCTGGGAAGCTGGGTAGCTGTGTTCACACAGTGCTGTGCTTGAGTTGATAAGCTGTGTGCAAGCTACTGAACTAATGCAGCTGGTTCAAAGCCAATGAGTGTACAGGGAAAATGAGCTTGTGTTTGTCAACACTAGGCCATGTAGACATGCCTGAGCTGTATTACTGCTAGTGACAGCTTGTGCAAATGGAAATGTGGTGATCTGAATAGGAAGGGTTTTATAGACTCCAATTTTGCTAAAGGAGTAACTTAGAAATCACAGTAGGAGGGAACTTTTCTAGGCAACAGCATTAGAGTGTCCATGTGTGCGAACAAATATCTTTTTTTTTTTCTTTATGGTCTCAGCTATATTTATTTGATTTTGACAAAGACAAATGTAAAAATTGGAATTAAGTTCTGCTCTGATGTTCTGTTGTTGTCTTGAAATTTAAGGCTTCTTTTAGAAATTACTCCACAGGACTTTCAGTGGCCCATTTATTTCAGTGGGAGGCTCATGCAGACCAAAAGATGGAATGCAGATAATAGCTTTTTCTTGTTGTTTTTGGAACATCTTTAATATGTGTAACGTGGTTGTGCTTTACTTCCCGCATGTAGCAATGTCCCAGAATCTCCTGGTGTCTCCCAGTGAGCAACAAAAGCTGCAGCTCTTAGTTCATGTTTTCTGGTGGTCATCTTTTAAATTTCAAATTGTCTGTATGTGAGCAGCGTAGTTAATTACCTTAATATTAAGTAACAAGTAGTTGCAGCAGTTCCTTCTGTAATTTCAAGACTTACCTTCTATAAACATCACTGTAGAGAGTGTGGAAACTGAATTAAATTAGATGGGCTGGCACAGTAGTGACTCTAGCCCCCTGAGTGAGGGATGCATCTGACTCAAGAGGCTGAAGTTTACGATCAACTGTGATATAACTGGCCTTGTGATTTTTAAATTTATTGGAAATAATCAGGTGCCATAACAAAGCTACAAAGTTTGTTTACCTTTTTTTAAAGTTCAAAATACAGTTTTTTCCATGCTTTAAATATTTTACATTTATTTATATTTTAAATATAATTTATTCAAAGTATTGTAAATATTTAAAGATATATGTAATTTTTTCTTTAAAGTGAGAAAAAAATATAATGTTACAGATCTAGATGAAATATGCCCAGGTGTATGTCACACATCTGAACTTGTATGGTGCCACCCTGAAGTTAAGTTTCTGAACCTGTTTCAGTTAGACTGAAACAGCGTACGTTTTTTAAGCATATGGCAGTCTTTTTCTTAGCTGAACAGAAGGTCCTCGTGTATTAATTCAATTTTTTTAGCACCTTTTGTCATACTGTGTAGATTGACTTAGTTGTTGAAGCTCAGTGACAATATACACTAGTGTGAGTTAGAACCAGGCCTGTGTGATTTCCACTAAGCGAATTTTGTGAACAGTTTCAAAAACTGTTTTCTCCTGATACGTTGATTATATGTTACAGGTAATTTCTAAATCAGGAATATTTCAGGGCTGATGTTTTAAAAAGCTTACTAGATCCAATCTGGCATCTTTTCATTTGATGTAATTATGTTGCAAGTTCTTCCTGGGGTGCTGTGCTGAAGTACTTGAATATCTAATTACAGGCTTTGATAAAAGTGTAACTACCGTTTCACCACATCAAACTGCTGGCTTGGATATATCTCCTTAGCTTTAGACAGCAAGTCAGCCAGTCCCTTTATAACTGGGGAGGAGAAGCTGTCCCTTTTAGCACATGGTTCATCATCACCCTGGACTAAATGAGTGACATAGGCCAGAAGGACTGCACTGTAGATCTGTGCATTTCTCTCCACTGATGATAAAAAGTTCTGACAACTAGAGCAGATACAGACACACAAGCTGATGTGAGATTTTCCCCTTGCCCTACTGCTCTTTGCCATTTCTAGACATTGCTGTATGCTGTATTGCTTCTCACCTTCTACGGTGATTACACATTGTTTCTTTTAATTGTAGAGATTATTCTCAAAAATGCTTATTTTCCTGCCTTTTTTGCTATGTCAAGTTACTTTTTCTTGGCTTTTAGCAAAGATATGGCAGTTTTTAAGAATCCAGAATTTATTTCTGCATTACTTTTACTAATTGATTATCTAAATATAGATTTGACAGATTTAAATGATTGTCATTGTTAATACTCTCTATCTAATCTCCACATTCTCCTTTCTACTGGCTTTTCTTTAGATTTTATAAATAAACATTTTTTTTAAAAGTCATCCCAGGAGCAACTTCACTACAATAATAAGCAAAGAAGCTACAAAACTCCCAACAGAATGTGTTTCTAACCAGTCTGTCTTGAATAGTGTGTCTTTTATGCTTTATGCAATCTGTAATTATTATAGATACAGGTTTGTCAAAGGCAAATTATGCTAGTGCTAAAAATGTACAATGGCATTTGTGAGATTATTTTCTATATGTTCTTAAGAGAACATCTCTTTGTGACAGAAGATGATTTACTGCTGTTTAAGGATTTATGAAGCTGATCTAGAGAGCATTTCCTTTAGATATTGAGAACTTTTTTATGCTATATACTAAAAGGCGATTATCTTCTGCAGAATTTACCTTAAATACTGGGGGCTGTGTTTATAGGGGCTGTCTGCAGTGTTTTGCCACACAGACACCATTTCAGATGCCATGCAGAAGAATCTTGAGACAACAAAATGTGAAGATCAAAAAGGCTTTGTTTTATTATTATTTAGGAAACAGAATTTCAGTAGTAAAGGAGAGTGAAAAGTGTTTGATGAAAGAAGCTGGCATTGAACAAAAGCATCTGCATGTTTCTGTAGAAACTCTGACATCTGTGCTTTGCTTCCATCCTTCTCAGCAAATGTTCATATTTACTGAAAAGGTGATTATAAGCAGCTAGGAAGTGAGAATAAAATAGTTGATAATAGTAATGTTCCAACTGAGGGGGTGTACCTTCTAGAGGATGATACTACATTTCAATTTCTTCCTACATTGTTTTGAGGGGGGAAAAAAAACAAAACCTGTTTGACAGTGATTTTGTTTTTGTGCAGAAAAAACAAACTTATTTTTTAATTTATTTCTCATTTAAGTGTGTGCACATTTAAACAAATACGAGTTCAAGCACTGTGTATGTCTAACATAGAATAACATACAATGCTTTTTCTTTTTTATACTGGCTTCTTAGGCCATCTGAGGTATTGTGAATAAACACAGCCAATCCTCTGGCTAGGCTATGGTGCCATGGTTATGTTAGCTTTAAATAATGCATGCCTGTTGAGATCAACTATGTTTTATCTTAGCGTATTTTCCACCTATTTGCCCTGATTTCAGAGAATACCACGTTGTTATGCATCCCTGAGAAATGCACCTTTTAGAGCTATTACTGTGAAGTAACTACCTGTTTAAGATTGATAAAGGAGCACGTGGACATAACACAATAAGCCATTTCCAGTTAATACCTATCTTTAATCATTCAGTAACAAAATGCTGTTGGCTCTTAAATGTTTAATTGGGAAAGGAGAATCCTCTCTCCCACTTTGGCACGCACAATATCTGTCAAAGGCAGAAGAACATGTCTCAAGAGATTATATTTCAAACATCCCACTGGCACCACATTTTTAAAGGCCAGCTCCTTCCCACTCATTGGTTTATAGAAGGTACGTGTCTCCCCATGTTGTGCAGGCAGGGGTCAGAGGAGAAGTCAAGGAGAGTTATACCCTTGTGCTTAGCAGAGAGCAGACAGTTACTATAGGCCTGATCTGTGGAGCTGGAACAAAAGGCTCATCTTGGTATCACTCTGTCATGGCCAGCAAAGTGAGAGACATGGCTGCATGGCAGAAGTCACCTGCACCTCTCAGGTGACTGGGTGAGCCTGGAAATGAACCCTTCGCTGACTCTGTTCTCAGGAGCAGGATGTTACTGTGGAGCTGGTGTTGTTAAGTATTTATGGTGGGCTGCAGGGTTCTTTTGTTACCCTTGTTTCAGTTTGTGTTTTCATTTTTCTCTGTCATAACCATATTGAGAGCAACTAAAGCAACAATTTCATTTCAAGAGAACTTGAGAAACCTACATCCAACAAGAAACTCTGTATTTTCAGGAGTGTTGTAGAGAAACACCGTTTCCTTTCACACACAAGCTGTATCTGGGGGCAGAAGAAATGCACCATCAAAAATGCTAGTACTTTATTAAAATAGTTTTGCTATTAGTTTTAGTAGACTGTAACACATATTTTTAAGTTCATTTGACAAAATTGTACATGTACATTTAATAGTTCATTTGATGTTTTGACTTGAGAGGGTTGATAGATGTCAGGTTTCTGCAGTCTGTGCAATTCTGTTCACGTGACAAAAATACTCTTTGCTGCTGCTTTTGAGATAGAAATGGATATGAAGCACAATGTGTTTAACAGCTGAGAAAAATAGAATCAGAAAGTGCAATGTTGACTGTTCCTAGCGTAAGACAGCTGACATTCGAAAGATTGAATGGCTGGTGTACACAAAGTTTTTTCACATGTGCTATGTCCCCAGTCTTTAATCAAATTTCTTCTTCCAGTAAGGTTTATAAGTTTTGCAAAAGTTAAAAAAAAAGTTCTCAGATTAAAAAAATGTATCTTTCCCAATCTTTTATCTGAAAATACAGCAAAGTTTAATGACCTAATTTGCTCTGAATAAATTTTGAGCCTGCAATCTTCAGCATATGTAACCAGAGCAATCCAGTTTGGTAAGAGTATTATAGGGTGCTGAGAAATTTCTGGAAGAGATACAGAAAGTAGAATTCAGTCCTAAGAAACATCTTTCAAGGTGTATAATTTTATTTTAACAGCTTTTGGGAAAACAGTGCTAGTCAGGGGGGAAAG